GAAGGCACACCGCCATCATCGCCCCTCCCTCGAGCGGGGCAAACCTTGTTGTAGTAGACAATAAGGATGTCATCATGCTAAGGCCAGATAGGACCAGCGCACCAGATCAGCAACCCCCGCCGATGAAGAGAAGTATAGATCAGAACGATCCAACCTGTAGACACACGAACGAAGACCAAATCCATGTTGATCCACCGAAGACAAACGTCAACTGAATCTTGCGAGATCCGACGGAGACATACTTTCACATACCCTCCGACGATGATAGAAGCACCGTTGGTACTGGCCTAGGTGGGAAGAACCTCATTCCATCTTCAGAGAGCCACCGCCGCCTTGCCTCTCGGAGCAGGACACAAACCCTAATGAAACTAAAAAAACATGCAAAAACGAAGCCCTGCCGTCAACAAGGGTCGGGATCCACCGCACCTCCATGGTCCTAAAGCCACATGAGACAAAGCAGACCGGTGGTGGCGCCGACGGGGGCACGAGAAACCCCAGCGACATGCCCTTGCATACGAGGCTATGAGAAGGGGCACATAGCTAGTTACCTACTCCATGATGTAAATTAGTTTAACCATTTTAAGCAGACCAGATATGTATCGCACTTAAGGGACTCCTTGTTTTCCGGTGTTATTATTTAGTTTTCCGGTGGTTATTTAGAATGAAATTATCCAGTTTCCGCTCATCTTCATGCTATCAAATGGCAACATGGATTAGGGAAATCTTTTCTCGTGTTGGGAAATGATTCCACCTAGCCCCAAAAATACCCTTGATGAGAGTTTGCTCCCTTGGATTTGCTGTCCGGTGCAACCAAATGAGGCCAAGGGGTTTGTTTGGTGCACAGGAAAATGCATGTGGATTATTGGTCTGTGTGTCTGTTCATATCAGGGAAGAGGAAAAATGCACCCCTCCCTTCGATATCTTCGGGAGTACTAGTAAGTTTGCACGTGCAACGCACGTCTTAATCGTTGGAAACTGAAATTACATAAGTATAAAATAAAATAAAAGGAGTTTTAAAATATATGAATTAAATGGATGCACAATGTCTTGAGTTCACTGAAGTTGTTTCTTAGAAGAGAGACTACATCTGATGATGTTGTTGCATGGAGACAATAATATATTGTTTAATACCCAGTGCTTAATAAGTTGTAAAAGATAAAAAAATCTAGTTGCGATTGGAGAGTAGCCTTGCACTGTGTTTAGTACATGGAGATGTAATCTTTTGGTCTTAATATCATGGTGTGAGCAATTGATACCTAATCTTAGAAAAAGATATTAATATCATGGTGTAAGCAATTGATAACTAAAATATGAGAAAAGTTCAAGAGATAAAAGTTTGATCCATCGATATGAGATTACTAACCAAATGTTTATATAAATCTGGAAATGGCATGAAATTTCCAGGACTTGATTACATGTTGCGAATACAACTCAGCTTGATGACTACTAAAATGAAAAAGATATATCCTAGATAAAAATATCAATGGCATTGAACCAGTGTTCTGAAGTAAAATCTTAACACCAACAGATTTTAGGGAGTTCCTTTTTTTTACAGTCAAAGGAGCTCACCTATATCGCTCAAGATTACTCAGTTTGAAAAAAAAGGCAAGATCGTCCGGAGCGGCATTACGCACAGCCTCGGGTCAGTAACTTGCAAGGGTAGCTTTGCAGAGAGTGGTGCATAGAAATTAGCCTCTCTGCAAATAAAAGACAGTACTGAACAAAAATCTGGGCCCAGCTCCTCAATTTCACACAGGAGGCCCATAATCTCTTATCTGTTTTGTTTTCTTGAGTTCCACATCTCTACCCGTGCTTGACAATCAGATTTGAAGGCAACATCGGGCCATTTTTCCCCCTTTGCAAGCTGTACCCCATCTTCGAGAGCAAGTATTTCAGCAAACACAGAGAGTAGAATACTCATACCTCTAAGCAGCGACTAGCATGAACTTACCTCCAGTATATCTTGCAATTACTCCCGTGGTCACACGAGCATTAGCACCTCAGAACGCCACATCAACATTAACTTCGATAATCTGGATGTCTCCAACTCACATCTCAGCTTGCTAGGATAGGGATAATCTTCATATGGAGAGAGCAGAGAGCAGGTTTCCTGAACCACATCAGGAACCCATTTTGTCAGATTTTAAGGGGCTTCATATAATTTTTTGCCTGCTGCTAGGAATTTATTTGTATGTACTGCTGCAGGTGAGATGCTGAGAATAATAATGGATGTTCTACTAAAAAGGTATAGGTTTTGTGCGTTCCAGCAACAGTGTTAGTTCTTGAAAAAAAATGTAATAAGTCGAGGGTTACATTCCTTTGTTTTGATTATCTCTGTCCTCTCTTCTCGTTTCCAAACGAAAGTGGATCTCTCATCTCTGAAAAATGGAAAAGTAGGTCTCATTCTCATTTTTAGATGCAATTTTGTACAGTGGTCGTAACAAGCAATATGCAGTAACAAGCAAAAAAAAACAGAGTTTGCTCAACTTGGCAATTCAACGTGCAGGGAGGGGCGTGTTGTGTAGCATTAAAACCATTTATCTTGTGAACGTCACCTAGGAAGTTTTCTTCCAATAACGACACACTGGTCAAGATATACAACAACTCCGTAATGAACATCATTGATGTATATGCCTAGTTAAGTCCTGTTTTGGCAATCAACCTATCTATCAAAATTTGTTAACTGTATCAACATAAGCTCTGCAAATGTGACTAAATCGGTAAAGTATTTATTTCTATAGTGGACAACAAATGAAATTGTTCAAGAGTTAAATAGCATGGCCACCCTTATTAGAATAACCTAGTTTCCTTCACGCAATACATGTAGTGGTAAACATATTGTGCACTGTTCTGTATGCAAATTAAAATAAAAAGGAAAACTCTTTTTTTATCTTGTTGAAAATCTTCACCTTCCTTTAGAAATACATCCTCTGTTTTAGAAAATCTGGGCGTAGAAGGTTTTTTTCTTGAACTTATAGTTAACTCAATAAAGAATGGTGTTTGAATTAGATCTTGGAGTTCTTTTGGCAGATATTTCAAAACCTTACAGATAGCTTAATCTTTTTTGTTAGCTTCTATTTCAGACACAGTGCAGGTTGTTGGACGTTGGGTGCACATATACCTTAGTGAAAGATAAATAGAGAGAGGGGGGAATGCACATATACCTGGCGGATAAGGCGGGGACTTAGGTTATTGTGCGTGTTGTTGTATGGGTGTTACGGAGGATGGCGACGGCGTTAACAGGGTTGGCGGCAAAACTATGCAAGAAAATAAAAGATATATTAGATTCAAAGAGAAGGTGCACTATGCACATTAAAAGAGTTTTTCTGCTAGTCATAGAGCATTATCGACATTGTACTGCAAATAAATTAACCTATCAGAAGTTCTAAATGACCCAAAGTATCAGAGAATAAGGAAATGGGGAGGGCTACATACATATGTCAAGTTGAAAATCTGAAACCAAATCCAAAGCTATAGCACAACCAACTAAAGAAAGCTCGCTGAAGTCAGGCTCGAGCTCAATCCATGCGGCAGGCTACAATATTATGAACACAAAGATTACTACCATATATCAGCTCCACGAGTATTTGTTGTGAAAAATGTATAAGCAGACAACTTTGAAACCTAACAAGACCAGCATTATAAGAATCAAATTAATGCGTACTCCTACTGTCAGAACAAAGCTAACAATACGATGCAATAAAGAAACAAATTGACGCAATTAGTGAGAAACACAATAGAGACTGCTCCTACTGTCACAAGAATGGGTAGCAAAATCTCTCTTTAAGAGAAAAAAATAGGGTCGCAAGCTGAGGAATATCCCTAGCCTTGGGAGGTATATGAAGTTCAGGGAACTTATATGGAGGTAGGGCGATGTCCATACAGGGGGTTGGTAATGCTCAGGTACAAGGGGCTGCTGGTGGAGAGGGAGGTCGGGGAGAGGTCGCCATCTCTGTTCCAGCCGGAGACGATGTTGTAGGTGAACGTCGCCGGAGACCGGAGTACCGGAGAGCAAGGGTTAGAGCACCAACCAGGAGTCCGGTGAAGAACGAAGCTGGATCCAACTCCCCTCCACGCAACAAGCCATGAAAGGACCAAAAGAGCAGCCGACACCGTCGCCACCGTCGAAGACCGAAGTGGCGGACGCCCAAGGCCAGAGAAACAGGCCCGGCTCGACATCAACAAAGAGTACAGCGGAGATCAACGGAACCCCAACTCGCAGGACCCAGATGCCCAGATCCGAGACCAAAAGGCACACAGCCCCTCATCGACGCCGAGGGTGACGACGGACGGGCGAAGAAGGGGGCGGAGGCGGCGACCCGCGGCGGGGAGGCTCCCGGCGACGGCGGGGCGGCTCTGGCGGGACGGGGGCGGAGGCGGCGACCCGCGGCGGGGAGACTCCCGGCGACGGCGGGGCGGCTCTGGCGGAGGCAGCGGTGAGGAGGTCGTGCGGGGGGCGGCGGTCTGCAGAGG